AGAAGCATGAATTATTTGTTTGATTAGTGCTCTGATAGTGAACAATTATGAATTCAACCATGATTTATTTGCAGGTAACTCAAAATTGAATTCTGGTGAATTGCTATGGATTCTGTGTATTGGAAACCAATTACATGATAACAGTGTTATTGCATGAATGTCTGGGCATGTATTTGATTTGTGAATTATGGACTCAAGGCATATATATGTCAGTTTATATGGATAAAGACTGATTGGCCCATTTAAAGTTTGATTGTCGGTATTGAGATATATGTTCAACACTTTAGGTTTAATTTAAATGTATTGATTGAAACAAAATGTTGCCAAAGTGACCTCTTTTGTGTAGATTGATTCATTTAAATACTAAAGGTTGTTGTATTTTTGTAATTCATGCGTGTGTTGATTAACCCAAAGGTAAACTGACACTTGGCCGAATTACAAACATACCTGTGATAATAAATTTGTGACAATTATAAGGTTTTCATGTGAACAATAATTCTATCAAAAGATAGTTTTATTGTTTGACAGAAATTATTGTCAAGATTTGATTATTACAACAAGAGTACCGCTTACAGTTAATATTACAATCCAAAGATTTGATATTGATGTTGTGCTTGGTATCTTGTTGTGAGTTTAAACCGTGTTTGGTTTATATGATAAACTATGGATTATAATGTGAGTATCTCTGTTTATTATTCTCAGGTTCTTCATCTATGGTATCTACTAACTATCCAGTCCCCACTTTATCTGGGGACAACTTTAAGAACTGGAAAGAATCAATTTGATTCATTTGGGCTGTATGGATCTAGACTTAGCATTAAGGATAGACCAACCTGCTTCTCTTACGGAGAACAACACTACTGAGGAAAAAACAGTACTTTGAGAAGTGGGAAAGGTCTAATTGCCTTAGTCTTATGATCATAAAAAAAGCATTCCATAAATATTTTGGGGAACGATATCTGATGATATCACTCAGGCTAAAGAGTTCCTTGTCGAGATAGAAAAGTGCTTTACCAAAAGCGA